GAACATAATTATAGACAATATTAAGATTATACATTATCTCAAATAATAAATTGAGGCTTCATAATTTAAATTATAGCTTCAGCAACTCTTTTGCTCTTGAAGAGACTAAGCCTTGAAATTTATAACATTATACAAAGAACTTAATGCTTAATATGCTAATACTCTTGATATGGAAAATTTTACTAGTAAAATTATAAAATATAATAATTGATTCAATTTCATTTCTAATAAATAAATTTTTCATACAAGAGATATTCCCAGACAGATCATATCTTAATATAGTTATCCTATTTATAAAAATAAATGAGAAAAATCTGATGGTAACTAGAGACAAATTATAATTATTCTGATCTTACCAAAAATTTTTGAAAAGGTTTATTACAAAAGATTAATCAGCTTTATTGAAAAATATAATTTCATATATAATAATTACCATGGATTTAAAAAAACATCTACATGACTGATGCCTTAGCACATTGATAATAACTTGCTGCTTGCAAGGTCCTAATAAGTAGTCACCAGGGCTTTGGCAATAATTTTATTTTCCTGTTTTCTGCCTTGTGCCATTATGAAATTATAATTAAGCTGATATTTGGGATGAACATTGAAACTAAACTCAAGCAGTAAAAATATGAAAATAAACTATATATCATTATAGCTTTCATATCATTAGCACAACTTATTTTATTATCTAGCACACTGGCAGTCATGGAATATGTTGGTATTCTGCAGGCTTAAGTCTGAACTCTGTACAAATAAACAATATTAAAAAAAAAGTTTTAAAGAAATGCTTTTTATTCACATAAATACACTAGAAAGTAAAAAATAAATCTTCTTCAGCTTTCACAGTATTCTTAGTATTATGTGACCAAAAATAAGTGTGGGACATTCATGTTTAGAAATATTCTTAGTTACACTTCCTATCAATTTTTATGGGCTTCCCATGAGCACCCCAACACTTTTAATTTTGGTCACATAAAACTGTAAAAGCTGAATAAAATTTATTTTTTATTGCACTTATGTGAATAAAAAGAATTTCCTTAAAACCTCTTTTAATACGTTTTTGTCTACCTTTTGATTTTATACATTTATAACTAAAAAGGGACGATGCTTTGTCCTACATATAGTGTCATCTGTTATCAAATTTTTAAAAATTTCAATTTTTTATCAATTATTAAAATTGTTTGCAAACTCTAAAAAAATGTATTGTCATTGAATACAAGTGCATGCAAAGTTTCAACCTGATCAGAAATTCAAAAGTTAACGAAAATTGAGTTACTTTATCTGGACAGACAAATAAAGAGAGTATATTAATGAAAAGCATATAAAAAGTGTACTGTCAAAACTAAATGATTTCTGGATTAGAGTGAGTTATATTACTGCTACTATTAATATAACTCCCAAAAGATGAACAGTTCAACAAACACACTAAACATTTTTACATACTACTTCTAGCACTAATGTTTAATAAATATTAAAAAAATAAAAGAAATAAAAACGTTTTTGGCTGCTTTACCGACCCTCATCAAGTTACAAAAAATTTTTTATGCCTTTTAAACAGGAATTCCCAATGGGTCAATATTAGGGTGGATTCCGGGATCCCGGTTGTTTTTTTAACCCAGAAAATATCCCGGAAAATTTTTCTTATCCCGGGAAATCTCGCAAATTTCTTAAAAATTCACTTTTTTTCTTATTTTGTGTTAAGGTTGAGGAATTTTGCAAATAGAAAGCATAATTAACTCATTCACTGTCAAAATACATTTTATTTATTAATTTTAAACCTACCTATTAGTTTTTTTTTAAATTTTTGCTCGTTATAGCATGTCACAAATGGTCAATAATCAATATATAGCTTATTTGTGGCAGGACTATAAAAATTCTTTACTTGTCGGAACCTGTAATATCTGGAATAATTGTGCTTACGCTGTCTTGAGTTTTAACCATGCCCAGTAGCTTCAATAAATGCCTGACGCCAGATTGTGCAAATTGGGCAAGGATACAAACGAGTACAAAGTCTGCAAGTATGAAGTTTTTCTTCATAAACCTGATTATTAAAGCCAAATGAATTGCCGAATTATCGAGCTCTAAGCTTGATGCCGCTATTAAAGCAGCCAAGGTAGACAAATCAAGAATACTAGAGAGCGAAAGAAGTACTACAATCTCGAAAACGAACTCGAAATCTTCCAGGCTACAGGTGAAAAAACACATAATATCTGTCTTCTCTTAAATGCATTAAACACTATTCCAATCACATCAATTGAATCGGAAAGGGCATTCTCGGTGGCAAGACTTTTCATTACTAAAATAAGAATTAGAGTGAGTTATCGGAGTATTGACCATCTTTGCTTTTTAAAATCTTATAAAAGTTTGCAATATTTTGTATTATATTTTATTTAAAAAACGAAAATTACCTTCTAAATTAGAAGTTCATTTTTTTAATTTTTAACTCAATTCAAAACATTTTTTTTGTTGTTGTTGTATGCAGTTTCCAGCAAACTTTAATTAATTTTTTTCTATTTGTGAAAATTTCTACGTTATTTAAAGGTAATTTTTATTATAGGCCTATAGACCTTACACAGCATTATTAATATGATTTTGGAGGTTACAGAACTTTAAAATTACTTTAAAAAATGGAAAATAATTATATCATTTGATTTCAAGATATTTTGTATACCTTAAAAATAATTAATTCTATCCCGGGATTTCCTGGGATCCCGGGAAACAGTTCACTTTTATCCCGGGATCCCGGGACAAGCAAAAGACCAGGAAATGAGAAACCCTAGTCAATATAAATCCCCCTGGAGGCCAATGGAATTTTGAAAGGGTTGATGTAAGTAAAGAGATCAATTGAGGTCAATGAAAAAATCAGATACTTATTGTTCTTTCTTGAGAATTTCAGATAATTTTCAAATAAGAATAATAACAATCATGGAAAATTCATTAGCTGATTTAATAATTTACTTGATATTGTAAACTTTATACTAATAAACTGGAAATTATTTTTGTCCCAACTTAATACTCATATTGTCAATCCCTACTGTGTTTCTATAAGTTTTGAAAACACATTTTGCTAACTCAAAATTTTAGATTCAGCGACATTATTTTATGCCTAATTTTGTGTTTTCTTCTGTGTTTTCAAGGGATGAATGATGATATCAAAAAACTGAAGATTGGTATTGTATAAAATTACACCTCTGATTGCATGACATAAAATTCAAAATTTTAACAATTTTTTATATGTACAGGTAACCCCCATATAACACGACACTTCTATAGCACAGATTCACTCTAACACGGTTTGAGAATTGGGAACATCCCCCGTATAACATGGTGCTTTTATAGCATGGGTTCACTCTAACACAGTTTGGGAATTGGGTAAAACTCTCGTACAACATAAAATGTAATAAAGGATACGTTCTTTTATACTTCCGCATAACTCTGCGCTATCATTCTAATTATTTTCATGGCTACTTTGAATGTTCTTTCAACAAATAATCCATTTAATGGTTAAATTTTACAATTGGGACCCTTTTTTTGCCTCTAAAAGCTCATTTTAGAATTATAGATTCCTCCACACGATACTATCGATAGTGCGGGTGCCGCCATCTTTCTTTCACCGTCATTCCTAAATGCCTACAAACAGCAGCACACTCCCATTGCAGAGCGACCTCTATTAACGAACGCACCCACAAACTGTTACCAGCTGATGATGCCCATGCTGAGATCATCATATAAAATGAATAATCCTCTGGTAAAATATTTACTTAAATAATAAATAAGTATTTTACCTATGAAAAAAATAAACAATAAATCCGATTTAAATAAGGATTTAACAGCATGCTTTTTAATTTTTGGAACCTAATCCCCCTTTTCGCACTAGTTCTTTGTTTCGTATAACAGGGATTCGCATAACATGGCAATTTTCTGGAACATAACTCTCGTGTTATAAGAGGATTACCTGTAAACTGATAATCTTATTCTTAAATGCAAATTGATCAATCAAACCTTAATTCTTTAAAATTGCTATTTTTTTAAATTTTAGATTTTGAAAATTTCAAAATGTAGTAAAAAATTTTGTGATTTCACACTGTTACTGACCAATCAAATTTATGAGTTTATATATAATTTTGAGCCTTTAAAGGGCTTTCTAGAAACTATATCATTCATAAAACAAGATGCTTTTAAAGAAGTTTGTAAATTTGATAATAGTAATTTTACTTCAAAAAATTTATTTATTACTTTAAAAAATTTTTATATTGTATTTAAATGTATTATTAGAGAAAAAACCTCACAAGAAAAATATACTATTGAAACATACAAATAAGCTGAATGAATATTTATATTTTGCATTTCACATTTTAAACTTTACCATTCTCTTGAACTTATGAATTAATTTTAGTATAAATATTTGTTGTGAAAGTATTATAAAAATATTTTGTATTAGAGCAACTGTTTATTAATACAAAAAACTAATATGTTTGCTAAGAAAATATCAAATAAAATATCAAAAAAATCAAATAAAACTAAGTTTAATTATAAAAATAACTCTAAAACAACTGGTAATCATTAATTTTGACAGTTTTAAAATATTATCTGTTCATTATGCTATTTTTTAATTACTTGATGTGATAATTTTTGTGCAAGCAAATAATAGTAAAATAAATATATCCAAATATTAGAAATTTCAGAATAATAATAAATTAAAAATACAAAATAAATTTTCAATTTATTTTTTGTATAAAACAAAATATTTTCCATTGATATTTGCTTTATTGCATCATTTATTTTATAGTTTTGCAATATTAACATTGAAGATAAAAATGAATAATTAAATTGATCATTTGTTTGTTTTTAAATTGAAAATATCATTTTTGTGAATTGATTGTCAAGAATATAAATATGATAAAATATACAGCAAAGTTTTGCTAATTAACTTAAATTTAAATGCAATTTATATCACATTATTTAGTGCAAACTATAAAATGAGTTATTATACTTACTTGAGGAACCATATTCTTAAAAGATTCCATAATTTGTGAACTTCTAGCTTCTTGGTAATATGAGAAACAGCCAGTAATAATAACAACAACAGACAACACTAATCCAAGATATAACTGAAATAATATTAAAATAATAAATATATTGCTATGAAATTTAAAAATAATTAATATATCCATTTATTTAAATAATATATGAATATTTTTAACTCTTGAAACTATTAATTACAATGTATACTTAAAAACAATTAAAGATTATGTAAGAATTGAACAAGTTAAAGAAAAACAACCCAATGATGATCTTATCAGCAGTCAGTATATGTCAATTTTCTGTTCTGAAACTTACATTTTCCCAGAGTTGATAGTGACACCTTAGACACATTTCTCTCAATTTTTAGTCACCTCTAGGAAAATTGCACCTTTGAATATGGCAAAGAACAGCCAATTTTAATCAGTCATCATCCGTTCTTCCAGCCTTGGATTAGTATTTGTGTGCCTTTATATCTAGTCGCTAGGAATTATAATTGTGCTTCACCTGCACTTCTGCTTGAGTGCTATCTGATGCAATATACTGTGGCTGTCCGCCATGTTTGTTTTGTATAAATTGTATATAAAATAGGAACTCCTTTCTTCTTTCCTGTAATTCTTCCTTCTGTCTTTAATTGTTTCCTGTCACATGACAGGAACTTTAATGTTTGTGGGTCCTGATTAGGCCAGTGTACAAAGAGAAAGGAAGGTGTCCTGCCCAAAGGGGACCTGGAAAAACCAGGAGTGGACAAAAGTCACTTTTGGATTTGTCACTGATGAAATAGGTCAGATGGAAAGACTGAGAGACAAGCTACAAGGAGTCAGGCCTAGGAAGATAGAAGGAGAGAGAGGATCAGTATAGATCATGTGCAGACGGTGACTCAGAACTAAGTAAGCAAATCTTTCCCTACATGCTCAGAAACCTGCTTTGACTGTTTGTTAATACCCTGGATGCCAACAGATTGGATTTTCATCATTCACAAAGTGACCATAGTCGACATTACTCCAGTATCATAACCCACCAATCTAAGCTACCAGTAGACCATCCTTTCTTTTCTTAGTTGTAAGTAGTAATAATATTAGGTTTAAGTTGAATTGTCATTGTCTTAATTTTAAGATGAATTGTATCTAAATCAATTGTCGTGGGAAGTTTGATCAAGAGTGGGGACTTAATACATATATATACTTTTGTTCTCTGTAATGGGCAGTCTGACCTCTGTTACCTCATTTCGATCAATAAAAGGCAATTGACTGTTATTTGCATCATCTTTTGTCACGTGTTTCTCATCCTTTCACAATACATCATCCAACTTTAAAACTCTATGCATCAAGAACTGTTCCTGTGCTTCCCATTGTGGGATGTATTTGTCAGAATTCTTAAGTAAGAAAATTTGTAAAGTCTCTCTCTTCATGATAATAGTGCATGTAACAGCAAATGCTATGTCTTACTTAGATGTGTAACATACTGTACAAATTTTTGTACTGTCTAATAAATGTTTAAGTGTAGTTAATTGTGTTGAATGACTCTTTCCAACTGAATCTCATCATTTCCTACTCCATCCTCTTACCCCTAGTCTCACATATGAGACCACATTATTGCCATCCACAAAAATGCTCAAAAACTCAAGCAGTAGGTGTAACCCAAAATGACTTCTAAAACTTAACACTGCATTGAGTAATAACAATCCACAAAACCTTTTTTATAACAGTGTTGTCTCCATAACAAACTTCACAAACGTTTTTGACCTCCACCGAGGTCTTCTTCAGGTGGCGACTAAACGGTGTCTCCTCTTGACCATTGGAACGATGCCACTCAAGATGTAAATAATGCGCATACCACGTTTTACCCTTCCGCCTGTCCCAGCTTGAATTCCTTGAAGTTTGTTACGGACTTCAAATAAACAATGATCTACAATTAACCAGTAACCGGCGCAAAATTCTTTAAAATTGGCAAACGTTTTCGATTCCCCTCCTGGGATCTTCTTCAGGCTTATTTTTATACCTTCCGTTATAACTGGATTCTTTAATTCGAATGTTTTTAAAAAATTTGAAACGTGCCATTTTTCGAAAAAATTTCCAAAAGTGGAAGGAATCCACGTGTTATTTCAAATATAATTTTCTACCAATGGGGATTCGTTGTGTGGCGCAATACCTCATATAATTTATCTTATAAAATATATTATGATTTATCGTCAATTAAAAATTGCCATGCTGCAGAGAGATTTATTTCTTCTTTGAAATTAATGCATGCGGATTTGCGATCGGCTTTAAAGATTTCCACTGCCTCCGAAGTTCTTAGTTGCCCCTGGTGTTGGGTGGTGCGGATAACATGCGCTTCATTGAAGATAGGTGTGATGCCTGGGTTTGTTGCATAAGTAGATAGGGCCGTCGTACATTTATTATGTTCGATGTCGGATTTATGCTCTTTTAATCTTTGACAATTTTCCGTGTACCCACTGGTAACGAACCCATTATTAATAAGGTGAGATGGATGTGTTTAACAAGAGCTATTAGACTCACAAGAAGGAAAGTATATTCTTTGATTGCCAAGATTATTCGTATAGAAGATTCCTTATTTCAACAAGATCCAAATCTCTTGGTAGTCGAAAATGCAAAGCAAGTCAACATCTATAATAGATTGAGATATGATTGGAAAATTCATTATATCCAAAAAATGCATTGGATTTTGCAATATCAAGTACCTAAGAGATCCAATAAGGTAAACTGTCCGTTCATGAATTGGGATAATATACAGTTTCCGAAGTTTGTTAAGTAGGTACTGAGGTATGGTCCTGCATACGTACCTCCTCCTTCCCCTAAGGAAGCAAGTAACTCTTTTATCCCAGACTTGGAAAATCTACCAAAAGGACTGTTGCATAACCAAAAAGAATACTACAGATGGTTAGCATCAATTAAGATCGGTACCGCAAAGGAATCTAAGGAGGTTATACAGATGAAACATAAATTGAATAGAGCTTCCAAATGGATAAAGAGTAATGACATTGTTTTGACCAGAGCGGATAAAGCCACAGTAATGGTGTTAATGAAAAGAGAGACGAATGAGAAAGGAATAATTGAATACCTCTCATTAACTCAGTGCTCAGAAATAGAAACAAGCTGGATGGATAAGATGCAAGCAAGAATTAAACGATTTGCTAATACGAAACTAGCCAGGAACATGGATATGAGGAACATAATTGTAGATGACCCAGATGTGCCGAAGCTGTTCGCCTTTGCAAAGACATATAAACAAGGGCAACAACTCAGATCTATATTAGACAAAGGGAGAGCTCCCACCATTAAGTTGGAAAAGTTATTACATAACAGGCTATCCGCGCACTTGAAAGACTACCAGTTCAAGATAGAAAGTCCAATGGAGCTTTTAAAAGAACTTAAGAAGAGAGACACTTCAAATTGCGCAACGATATTGGATTTTAGATCCTTATACCCATCAATAAAAATTCAAATATGTTTTTGTGCGCTCAGCGACTTCTTTCTTTCTAGCATAAAAGACACCACATTGCACCACAATATAATAGATTTAGCACATCTGGCTTGTTACAATTCCGTATTCCAATTCAAGAGCACTATATACGTGAAAGGAAGAGGTGTGCCAATGGGAAGTTTGTTATCTGAAGATTTATGTGAAATGGTAATCAGAATATTAGAAAGCAAAGTCCTTCCCTCCTTTCTCTCAAATATTAGCCTGTACGGAAGATATATCGACGATATAATTATCCTTTGGAAAACAGCCAGATATGGAACATTTTACGGAAACAATGAACAACAACCGATATGGCCTCGTAGTGAGACTGGAACAACATAGTAAGGATAAAGTACTCTTCTTGGATATAGTCATAGATATGAAAGAAAGGACAGTACAAACTTATGTATACAGAAAACGTACAGTGGTATCAACGTATAAACCTTATGAATCTTGTGACCCATTTTCTTATAAGATAGCGGTGTTTAGAGCATTAGTAGAAAGAGCATATACGCATTCTTCCATCTCCCAAGCCCTCCAACGAGAATTAAATTACATTAGGAAGATCGCTAAAGAGCATGGTTACAGCAATATTATAAATGGATTGTGTAAGCAGCACTGGTGTTTACAGAATCTTGTAGAAGAAAAGATAGAGGTACAAAATAATGGAAATGAGGATAGCATAGAGAGGGTACCAATAACGTATAACCCACATCTAAAGGCAATGTACGAAAAAATTGCAAAAGTAAAGGGAATTAAGATTGCATACAAAAGAAACCCAACCATTTACAGTTTATTAAGGAACGGGAAGGACAATTCTGACCCAAACAGGCTTCCAGAGATATATAGTATTCCATTAAAAGATAACAGATGGGATAGGCCTTTAGTGTATATTGGATCCACCAAACGTTCTTTGGCCACAAGATTAAAAGAGCATAAATCTGACATCGAACATAATAAATGTACGACGGCCCTATCTACTTATGCAACAAACCCAGGCATCACACCTATCTTCAATGAAGCGCATGTTATCCGCACCACCCAACACCAGGGGCAACTAAGAACTTCGGAGGCAGTGGAAATCTTTAAAGCCGATCGCAAATCCGCATGCATTAATTTCAAAGAAGAAATAAATCTCTCTGCAGCATGGCAATTTTTAATTGACGATAAATCATAATATATTTTATAAGATAAATTATATGAGGTATTGCGCCACACAACGAATCCCCATTGGTAGAAAATTATATTTGAAATAACACGTGGATTCCTTCCACTTTTGGAAATTTTTTCGAAAAATGGCACGTTTCAAATTTTTTAAAAACATTCGAATTAAAGAATCCAGTTATAACGGAAGGTATAAAAATAAGCCTGAAGAAGATCCCAGGAGGGGAATCGAAAACGTTTGCCGATTTTAAAGAATTTTGCGCCAGTTACTGATTAATTGTAGATTGTTGTTTATTTGAAGTATATACAACCCAGTGTGGTGAGAAAGTACATTTGTTACAGAGACAACACTGTTATAAAAAAGGTTTTGTGGATTGTTAGTAGGTGTAACCTACTTGGTATCAGAAGTTTCTGAGTGTAATCACTTATATTCAGTGATAAG